CCTCACAGCATCAATGTTTTTTTGTCACTCACCTGCATTACCACACTCACTCTTAGTGATCAGTTGAGACAGAGGAATAACGGCGACACCCTTGCCAGTGGCGTTGGCCCAAAGTCTCGACCTCCTTGGAGGCTTGGAGGTCAGAGGTGGCAGCTCCACAAAGATCAGCCAGAGGACGATTGGCGACTCCCTCGCCTGGGGAACTATTTTTATTTGTTTTTACCCGAAGCTTTGGTCGGAACCCTCCCCATGCAGAGTCAATCCACACCTATTCATGTAATCTTTCATTTTTATGGAATTCTTTTTTATGTGTTTCCTTAGAACCCCACTTTGTGAATGGTGCATCACAGCTTTAGCTGTTCCAAACTCGTGGTCCTCTGTTTAAAACTCGTTACCGACAATGAGTCTTATTCAGTGGAACTGCCCAGGTATGCTGTATAACTATGACGATGTTTGGTCCCTTTTAAAGGAATATCGTCCACTGGCATCTGTGTCCAGGAAACTCACCGGAAGGAGAGTCAGTCGTATGTCTTCAGGCACTTTAATTTTTTCCGCAAGGATAGTGATCCCTCGTATCACTGTTCTGGCGGGGTAGCCATAGTAGTGCAAAAATCTGTTGCTTGTGTTGAGGTTCCTGTGCACACCGCATTGGAAGTAATGGTTGTTCGCATTCCGTCCGACCGCCTTATAACCCTTTGTTCACTTCACGTTCCTCCTAACTTTACTTTAAGGTGTGAAGACCTTGAGTAACGAATCGCTTAACTCCCCTATCCATTCATTATTCTTAGTGATTTTAATGCACACAATTATTTATGTAGCAGTGCTAGACGCAATACGCGTGGGGCAATTGTGGAACGGTTTATTTTGTCTACAAAATTGTGTCTGTTTAACGAAAAAAACCCTGCATATTTTAGTGCACCCACAAACTCATTTACATCAATTGACCTCTCTATAAGTGAATTTATTTTATTTTTACTGTTTTCATGGCAGGTTACAGATATTCCTTTAGGCAGTGACCACATGCTTATTGTTCTAAGGCGGAATTACCCAGGTGTGACCCTCATTACCCGAACTCCTCGCTGGAAATTTGAGAAGGCAAACTGGTCAGAATTCAGCCAATTCTCACTGCTCGCATGCACACCTCTTGACAAGCTTTCAATTGACGAAGTGAACGAACACTTAACGAACTGCATCCTCCAGGCAGCTATAATGGCAATCCCCATGACCTCGGGGCGATTCCCACGCCGTCCCAAGCCTTGGTGGAATGAAGAATGCTCAGAACCACGAAAAAAAAAAAAAAAAGAAAGCATGGAGTATGTTTTGACGATATCCGGCATCAAGCAATCTTCTTCACTTTAAGCAAATGAAGGCCCGTGGACGGTACATTCGCCGGCAATAAAAAAGAACAAGTTTTCAAGGGTATGCGACATCAATAAATAGCCACACATCTCCGAAAGAGGTCTGGTATTAAATTAACGAAATCAATGGACCCTATTGTGCTTTCACTATCCCCCTGTTATCCTGCAATGGAACCTTTCCAGAAAGTCTAAACTCTAGAGGAACAAGCTGGTAATCTCGGGGAACATTTCGAGACCGTTTCAAGTTCCAGGCACTATTTCACCATAATTTCTTCAGCAAAAACGGCAGAAAGAAGCCAGGACCATAAAGGCACCTAGCTGGTGGTGCCCGGGAGCCGTATCATAGATCCTTCACCCTTATTGCACTTAAGATGGTCCTTCATAGTGTCAAACCCTGAGCAGCTGGGCTTGACGGTATCCACTACTTCATGTTGAACCACCTGCGTCCATCTACACTCGATCTGGTTTTATACCTCTTCACCAGTATATGGGAGGAGGGACGTTTTCCATCAGCATGGAGAACAGCTACCCTCTGCTCAAACTAGAAAAGAACTCAGATGCTGCTACTAGTTACAGGCAAATAGCATTGACAAGCTGTTTTGATAAAACCTTCGAAAAAATTATTACTAGGCGATTGATGCAGCTCTTGGAAAAACACCGCATTCTGGATAAATACCAGTGAGGTTTCCGCTGGTCCCGTTCGAGAAAGGATCAACTGGTTCGATTGGAGACAACTGTCCGAGAGGCTTCAAGTTTTGTCAATAGACAGTACTGACTCTCGGTGTTTTTCGATCTCGAGAAAGCGTACGATACTGCTTGGCGGTATGGAATTTAGAATGACTTGATTGACATTGGTGTCCAGGGCCGCACGTTTTATGCCATAATCCGTACACCAGGCACCGAAGGCCGGGAATCTGCCGTCCGAGCGGTCACACGCTGTCCAAGCAAAACAGAGTTCGAGCGGCACATTTGTTTCTTACAACTTTTTGCATGATCATAATAAAAATTTCACGTGCACCATATTTTCAACCATGAAGAGTTACTACGTTTAACCCTTACGCTCTTATTAGAACTGTTTCTTGCTACCACCGCTAGAGGGTTGTTTTCGGCTTCTGGTTGGCCAAGAGAGCATGCCAAGCTCCCTATCTGCGTCTGGTGCACGCCCTGGCTCTGCCCGCTCCTCCCATCGCCTTCTACGTGCTGCCATCTTTGTCTGCTGAGCTGTGGAACGCCTTCTGAGCATGCGCTGTTGATCTTCTGTGCGATATATCAGACGCTGCGCATGCGTCCACAGCTCAGTGACTCAGCATTTTGGCCGGCCCTGGGGATAAGCGATGCAAAGGTCTATGCACGGCTCTGAGCGAGTGCGAAAGAGCAAACAATAAAGAAAAAAGTGTGTTCAGCGGGGAGGAGGAGGAATGCCTATGCCCTACGCTGTCAAGAGCGCAGCGGACGCTAGAATGTTGCCATTCAACGCCAAAAGCACAACGCATATTCTTCCCGGCTCATCCGATTGAGCACGGAAGGTACACCGTGACTGTGCACTTTTCGTATGGTTGTATGTGCTTGCGCGCCTTTGGCTGCACTCTGATTCAAGTTGAAACGAAGTATAGAAAGGCCGCCTTATCTTTGAGCGGAGCAGGCGGCGTACCGTCGGTGCTTCCTTGCAAAAGAGCAAAAAATAATGATAAAAACAGTGAAAGCTGCTTACAACTCCCTGTAACGCCGAATTAGAGCGCAGCTCTTGAGGAGGAGGAGGGAAGGGCACTGGGGGGGGGGTTAAACTAACCAGGGGGGTCACGTGACCTTGGGGGCCACGTGACCTTGGGGGTCACGTGACCTCCATGCCGATGATGTCATCACTGAGGTCACTGATGACGTCATCATTGACGATGACGATGCGGGTACCGATGACGTCATTAGTGACGTCACTGATGACTTCACCAGTGATGATGACGATGACGATGTGGATGCCGGTGACGACATCAGTGACGTCACTGATGACGTCATCAGTGATGATGACGATGACGATGCGGATGTCGGTAACGTCATCAGTGATGATGACGATGACGATGCGGATGCCGGTGACGTCATCAGTGATGATGACGATGACGATGCGGATGCCGGTGACGTCATCAGTGACGATGACGATGACGATGTGGATGCCGGTGACGACATCAGTGACGTCACTGATGACGTCATCAGTGATGATGACGATGACGATGCGGATGTCGGTAACGTCATCAGTGATGATGACGTCATCAGTGATGATGACGATGACGATGTGGATGCCGGTGACGTCATCAGTGATGATGACGATGACGATGTGGATGCCGGTGACGTCATCAGTGATGATGACGTCATCAGTGATGATGACGATGACGATGTGGATGCCGGTGACGTCATCAGTGACGATGACGTCATTGGGGGTCACGCGACATCGGCGGGGGTCACGTGACCTCAGGGGAGTCACGTGACTTCGGGGGGTCACGTGACCTCGGGGGGGTCACGTGCCCCCCACGAGGTCACGTGACCCCGGTGGGGGGCTCGCGCGGTGCATTATGGGACATTTCCCATGATGCACCGGGGTCACGTGACCTCGGGGGGTCACGTGCCCCCCACGAGGTCACGTGACCCCGGTGGGGGGCTCGCGCGGTGCATTATGGGACATTTCCCATGATGCACCGCGCGGTTACGCCGACGCCGACGGCGACGCCGACGCCGCTCAAGCCGGAAACGGGCCCCTAAGAGCTGCGCTCTAAAAGTGTGCGTGCCAGAGGAGAAGGGGCAATATGTCGGGCTGGCTTTACTCGAATATTTTACTGCGTTATTATTCAAGGGCTTTAAGGTCCATTCACACACTTGCGACCTCTTAGAACCCGGGTGCCTTGGAACCTCTTAATATCTCTTACAACGAGAGTGTGGACACACTGGCGCCTTATATTTGGTAGCAGTGTAAACTTGGCGGTCCGGCATATTTTATATTTCTCTCGCGCATTATCCTTTCTTGGCTCGAAAAACTTTTGTCAACGTTATAAACGAGCCTTTCTTATAGGTATTACGCAGATTTGACCTCGGAAATCCCGCAAAACCTTCGCTCTTGTGAATGCAGTTCCAGGGTCACCGCATAGATGGCGCCAGAGCGCCAGTGTGTTCTCTTGTCCTAAAAAAAATTGAAGAGGTTTCAGGAGGTTTCGTCTTTCTCGGTCGTACTCGGTTGCAAGAGTGTGAATGGGCCCTTAGCGTTATCCCTTCCAATTTTCTTCAGTGTCACCTGGTAGAGGTTGAGGGAGCAAGGAGGAGCATACAGGAGGCTGTCCGTGTTCTTCCCTATGTGTAATTCTTTCGTAAGTTTTTAGACCGTACCAACGCGCTCACCTCAATACAGAATAATTTCCAGTATGTGGATGAGAGTTTCATAGAAATGCATTAACAACTTTGGAAATTTATTTGATAACAGTGGCTCCTGTTTCATAATCTAGCTGAGTTAAGTTTGTTTTGAAACAAGTGCACTTTTTCGTGTCCTGGAGGATTAGAAATGTTGGTAGAAGACGAAGCATATAGCTGGCTGTAGCATTTTACGCCAGCACGTACAATCTATATGCCGGTAAAACGTCTTAAATAAACAAGCAAACAATCAAAGAGGAAAAGCCCTGGAATTTTTATTTGTTTCATGTCACATTGGTTTTGCTCTGTTGTCAACAGATACCTAAGAAATGCCTGCATTTAACATGGACAAGAACCAAAAACCGCATTCCCTGAATATTTTTGGTACACGGAATATATGCTAACAAAATCTATTTCTCCTAATTCATTATCAAGTACCCTAGTTGTCACAGTTTACTTAGCAACATTGGTATAAAAGTTAGCGGATTTGCAGTTTTGAAATAAAGAATAAACATAGAATTCCTTATTTTAGAACTAATTACATGGCGGACATTTCCTTTGATATTCCTGGGGCACTGGTCTGGCTACACAGTACCAAAGACTCTGTGAACATGTTTGTCTTCATTCTTGCTCTATTAGTTTTCTTTTTATGATAATTGCAGCCTGTTGATGTAAAACAAATCCCTAGGGATACAGGCTCACATATTCACACTGTTTACAATTGCGCTCAGATGGTATTAGGTGGTGCACCCTATTGTTACGAACTGTACCATGTCTTTCCTGTAGATCACAAGCCGGAAAGAACAGCACAGTTAGGAACACTACACAAAATATATTTTACAAATGCACCCACCGTCGCCGACAGTTTAGAGAACACAGAACATTCTGGCTTTGAAGCCACTCGGCGACAGTATGAAAAAAAATATTTACAGATCGTGTTTGCTTTGCACTTCGTGTTTTCCCATATACGTATGTACATATAATCGCACAAAAGCTGAAGAGACTGGATCTTGGTGTGTTCCAAAGATTTTCCAGTGCTTCCTTGCACACAACCACACAATATAAATTTAAAGTTAAAGTGCTGACAAATCAGTTCCAGCCAAAGATGTTAATAATGAGATCACTTTCAATGCTGAACCAATCTGCGAACAATAATATCCTTTGTAATCACGCTTAGTGAGCACTAATGAAAAAAATCAAGTTCTGCCCCGAATAATACTCTTGACTATTTCTTTTCATATCACTGGCGGCTGTATGTCCCTATAACATTTTCATTTTCTGTCAAATTTATATAAACTACACAAGCAGAGAGGGAATTGAAGTTAATGGGACTAATTGAATTATATTTTTATTATTCAATCATAAGCTTAACATTCTGATTGAGACAAAGGAATCTCTCCACTACTTCTGCCAGTTCCATCAAGAAAGGAAATGGTGAATTTGCTTGAAGCAGTCTAAAAAAAATTTGTGAAGATTACACAAAAAACAAAACAAAAAATTTATTAAAGGAGGTTTATGAGTGGTGCATATTCTATGCGACACGGTGTTGACTAGTGAAAGAAACCCTTTAATTTACCGTTTGTAAATCACACAAACAAGATCCTTAGCACCTATGCATATGACATTGCTTCAAGAACCGTCATTAAAGATCAGCCAAGTTCTGAATAAGACATCCGCTGAATTCACATGCAGACACCAAATAAGAACATCTTTTCTGCACACGGGACTTGGAATAGGTCTGTCTGGTACCTAGTGAGAATCTTAAAATACCTCATATGAACCAAGACCTACAGCTGAAACAATCCATGTATCGCTTTATTAACATGACTTCCCTCGCTGATACGCTGTTGATAAAGAATACGGTATCTTTTAATATTAGTAGCTCCTGATATTTATAAGAATACGACCTTTTAAATTATCTTGCAACGAGTTTTAGAACAGTATTTGTAGAGAGTTGCCTATTTCCATCAGGAAGATTGAGAGGGTCTTTATCGTGCTTTTTTTTTTCAATTGCATATACGAATCCAAGAGCTCAGAACGCGAGAATCAAGTGTCTAAAGTAGTATGAAATTATAGATTAGGACAGAATGGAAGTCCCCTTTCTACAATGTATTTGTATGTCTTGTCCCCGAGTTGGGAATAGATTAAATATCCAATAGTGAAATGCATTGGGACGATTCCGTGAACTTTACCGCAGTCGGAAAAACACGTGGAGATAGTGTCCCCTCGTATAAATAGGCCTATTAGTTTGCTGGCAGAGAAAGAAATGAATTCATCATATACCCTCTTAACGGAGGAAAACAAAAATCAGTGAATATAACTCTAAGTGGGAGGTGGCAGATTTTTTGTTCTGTGGTTCTGTGGTAAACAATTCCCGGCAGTGGCGTCAGAACAGGGGGGAAGGGGAGGGGGGGGGGGGGGGGCGATCGCTTCTCCAAACTTTTAGTAATTTCTAGTAAGAAATTCAGGGGAAAAAACAGTGCCCCCCCCCCCCCCCCCCCTCCTATTTACCCCAACACTTCTGACGTCCCTGACTTCGGGTTCTCGGATGTCCCTACTGAACTAATTTTTTTCAGTACGTTTACTTTTGAGCATGATCAATGCATTAGCACTGCAATTAGCACTGCAATTAGCAGTATGGTACTTTGAATCAATGTAATTTATGGTTGGGCCGAAAGGTTTGAAGGCACATTCACACAAGGCCAACTCTGTCCGCCAACAAAGGACAAACATATTCTAATGATTTTTGAGTACAAGCAGCGCCAACAATTAACAAACGTGCTCGTGTTGACAACGCATACACATCTCGTTAGCACAGACTCGTCCCGACGCCTTTTCAGTGCGGCACGCGAACAAATGCGACAAAAAGTTGAGTTGGGCTAGTTGGTTCATGACTGGATAGAAACGCCGAAGGACAGGGACAAAGTGAAGAAGGTGACGATAAGTCCATCTGCCACCTCACCCCCCCCCCCCCCCCCCCCTCCCCCGGTCTTGTCGTCACCTTCTTCACTTAGTCTCTGTCCTTCGGCGCTTCTATCCCGCCAACAAATGTTTATTCGGGATTGGCGGACAGGTGTGGTCAATGGACTTGGTCCAAGAAGAGCCCTGTGCCTGCGCACGCTCTTTCTACCTAGCAGCCAACGGCTGCACATGTTTTGGAGGCAGCTGAAGCAGATATTTTTATGCTTGTTGCCCTTAGAGCTGGGAGTGCAGCGTCATCGTCTCCTGTTTTTGATATGTGCTATCCAGAACATCTCATTCATCACGTAAGATCTCATGCGCACGCGGCAAACGTAGATCGATGTCTACTGCGCAAGACAAATATTATACTGAATGATTTTAGACTTGCCACCTGCAAGCAAGTATATGTATCCAAAATAACCTCGTCACTACTCCACTCTGGGGGCCGCTTGCCTCCAAAACAGTTTGGAGCGCGTGGCGCGAGATTACTTCTTAATTTAGAAAGGTCCATTGCTTGACCTGGTGAATGTTCTTTCAAGCATTGTTATTTTCCCTGTGACGGGCTTTTGGTTAAGCAGAGATGCGGATGATTGTGCTCTTAATATAAACACGGCCCGTGTCAAGAATGCTTGGGTATTGGTTACGCTCCGAATAGAAAGTGCTCGGCCACTGTTGTGGGTTCGTGTGTTTGATTCAAAGAACAGGTGCAGGTCCCGTAACTGTGCCTCCTTGTCTGCTGGGCTAGGGAACCACCAGCGCGAGTGGAGGTTTGAACATGACCGTACCCCAGAATCGACGGCAAATGAAAATGTGGCGAGGGAACTCTCGCCGTCGTCCTAGAATACAAACGCTATCGCCGCGGATCGCCGTGGTCCAGAGCAGCTTGCCAGCCGTGCCCGTAGTAAAAAATGGGCTGAAAAAAATCCACGGCGAACAAGGTGCGTGGGAGACGGTGAAAAGAGAAGCGTGACCATGGCTCTGACTATACAATCTGTGGAACTGTCCATTGCACTCGCGCACCGGGCACACGCACGCAGTTCGGGTTCACACTTGCGGCGCGATGCTGTCGTACTCGACCGGACTGCCCTCCCGGGGCGCGGCTGAATGCAGCAACCTGGGGTGGAAGTAGGGGTGGTATTTAAGTCCCGGGTAGACGGCCCGCGTCGAGTACAGCGCCGCGGCTGCTGTGGTCGCCGCCGACGGCGGTGGGCCCGACGGGGGGCCCGGCGAACCCGCGCTCGGCACAGGGCCCGGCCTGCCAGGCGACGCGGGCGTGGGCGACGACGAGCCGCCGCCGGCCGCCGAACACGGAGACCGGGCCGGCGGCGGAGCTGGGCTGGCCACCGGGAAGTGCGGGAACAGCGCCCGCGGGAAGCCGAAGTAGAAACCGGGGAAGTTGTGCAGCTGCTGCTGCTGCTGCTGCGCGCTCATGAGCGCGCTCAGGTCCGCCATGGCCATGGGCAAGGTGGGCATCTTCCACGGCGACGACGCGGCGCCGTTGGCCAGGAACAGGAGCTCGCTGCCTGGAGGAAGCCGCCCCAGCGCTGCGCAAGCGACCGGGTCGCTTAGGTTCAGCTACTTTGCCAAAATAAGCAGAGGACTTCAAAGAGCAGAGACCTCTTCAACAAGGTTGCGTTTCAAACGTTGCTGATGAAACGGTGCGGGCCGGAGTGAAGTAAACGACGTTATTATAGATTTTTGGTGTTGTTGTAAAGGACTGAGTTTGAAAATAAATTTATTGTTGAAATATGCTACATATATAACAGACAACTGCCTATGGAAATGTTTTATAAAAATGTGAGTTATTTATAGAACAAGTTCTGACAATTCTAACGGAAATATATAGTTAATGACAGTTCTGACAACTAACAACGATTTTATAATTAGTCTTCAGTGTTTGGCATGCAGGTGATAGCTGTTTCATTTCGTGCCATTTCATTACAACTCCAGTCGCTGAATATGTAAGGTGAAAAGGAGTACAGCACCTCGCTCGACGCCGCGGGGAGTGACAGCTTAGTGGAAGAGGCCGGGTCAATTATCGCTGCTATTTGTATTTTAGTAATAATTTATTATATTATAGACGTAACAACCGAGAGTAGGTTTATGGTGCTCAGAGCTGGCTGCAGGTCACGGACACAATATTCTTGAATTCAAAATGGCGACGTGCGTGGTTACGAGTTTCTGTCGAGTGCACCCAAGAAGCTGGTGCGCGACCGGTTCGTTCTAGAAAGACAATGGAAACTAACTACATTCTGCAGAAATGACTTGTTAGATATAGTCAAGGCTTTTGAATGCAGGCTTGTTTCCGATACCACACAGACATGTGAGCACTATTTCATTATATATTCAGCATAAATCAATAATATTTGTCAGCAGCACTAATATTCGATCAATCAAATTATTCGAAAACTCGGATACTATGAATTCGAAAGTCGAATCAGATTATTCAGTCAAGCACTATTTGATTCGAATTTGAAACTGGAATATTCGCACACCCCTCTAAATAATCAATTTTCCTTTCTCGGGTAACGCAGCGGGAACATTCGAGCATTATTTGACGAGAACTATACGGGAACAGCAAGATTTTTTTACTTGCGTTATTTAGAAGAAAGAAAGAAAATGTAAACCCGCGCTTAGGAGTTTGAGGAACCCGTGTCGGCACAGAGTGGGCGCCGAAAGTTTGACCAGCTCTTCCGCGTTTATTTCAATTATAGATATACCAGATATGTAGCTACTAGTGAGTTGATAATATCTTAAACAGTGGTCTCGGTAAGGTCGCCTTCCCGAAAATCTATGACCAGAAGGCTTCAACCAGCGAGTGACGTGAAGACGTATCTGTTGCTGCACTCTAGCTAGCTTTTGTGCTTGACGGTTTCTTTCTGTGTGCGATTTTTGTATATATTTCATGTGATAGAACGGCACCCACGCCGATAAACGCCGAGTTTATTGTTAGGAAATAAATGCCAATTTAACACGCCATGCTACCTATTGTAAACAGAGAAATCGAGAAACCTTTGTTGCACGGTGAGTCAAATGAAAACCTTAATTTATATTTTGCTCGAAATTTATTAAGCAAATGTTGTATACATCTATGATTTTTTTTTTCTTTTTCAATATAGTCTTCATTCTGCTTAATGCAAGTCTTTTAGCGCTTAAAAAGGGCGTGAACTTCTGTAGAAAAAAAATATGTCGGTCGCGTGCGAAGCCATTTATGCACCCCGGTTGCACCTCTTCCTGAGATTGGAAAGGATTTCCTCCCATTGCCTCCTTGAGTGAGTCCAAAAATGTGGTAATCACTTGGGGCGAAACCATCACGCAGCCCCTCTTTGGTGCGTGACTTAAGTGGATCGGTCATATTTACACAGCTACTGCGACGTCATTCTGTTGTTTGCTCTGTGCTGACACCCGTTGGAGACTTAATTAAAACATAGGCTGCCAACTTACAGGACAATGGCACCATGTACCGAAATGTTATTGCAATTTTAAAGTTTTGATTTGACTCACCCTCGTAGGAACACAATATACAGTTCCAAAACTTCAAACCCAGTAGATATGGTGGTGAGATGGTCGCTGCAGAGATGGTGAAAAAGTACAACGTACCTCCAGCAGAAGCCAAGAACTGATGCTCAGGCGGAAGATCTCCAGTCATGAAAGCTCGGAAGGGGGAATGCCGGAAAGCGTGCTCTCGTAGCAGGGTTTCCACAGACTCCCTGCAAAATTCAACGCGTCCTTTGTTTGGGCGGCTCGCTCACGCGGTCACTACGTTCACACCTGCGGCGTGATGCGGATTTCGAATGCCTGCGCATTCTTCATTTCTATGGAGCAATGCCCGAGCGAATATCGGTAGAAGGCAGGTGAACGAGGCCATCGTCAATTGGAAACCGTCGGAGGATTAGCGAGTTTAGGTTGGTTCGCACACTTGCGTGAGTCCGACTGAGTGTGACTGCAACGGCTTGCGACGTACGGGTTGCTATGGCAACGGCTGCGTCACCTGCAACAAAACGGGTTGCTATGGCAACGGCAGCTGTTGCCATAGCAACCCGTACGTCGCACGCCGTTGCAGTTGCACTTGGCCAGACTCGACGCAGGTGTGTGAATCGCACTTTACTCCTACTACGGATGCTGCGAGACCGAGGAGGACGGAAAAGGGCGGTTGGCGCACGCAGGCGTTCGGCTTCAGCGCAACACACGCAAGGCGCTCGCCTGTGGCGCAGTGAAACCGACCTCGCGTTGCGCGGGCGTAATATTTGGGTTTGAAAACTTATTTCGCCCTCAGATACGCCAGTATTTTTTTCTTTAATTCTTATTTAGTCTTGGAGGAGGGTAGGATATTGCTAGTCACCAATGTGGCGATTAATTTAATCTCCTTTGATATGAGCCGTGTTTGAGGCCCAAGAAAGGTTTAGGCAAACAACCTGAAAACGCCACTATGTTTTGTGTGAGCGTTTGTATTTGCTTTTTTTAAGTGTGAAATTTGAAGTATATATATATATATGACTTTTTATTTTTATGACGCTAAAACGTGTCTCGCATGATCATTTGGTACCCAGTTAAAACACAAAACATGTCAATACTGGTTGTATTTTTTTCTCACTTTGACGACGTGGGTTTTGGTGTGACCCGTTCTCTATCTCTCTCTCTTTCTTTCTTTGGTCGGGGAGGGGGCGGGAATCTGGTTGGTTTTATACTACTTCGATCATTTTTACTTAAAGGAATTCTCAACCGAAATTCGGAGCTCACAAAACAAGGCTGGCGCGATAGGCGTGACACTGCATAACCCCAAAACGTCACTCATACAGCGATATCTCTAACGGTTGGCCGTATTTTCGGAAAAGAAGTGTGCGATTGAACACGGCCGACGAGGCACGCGAGATATGTCACCGTCACGATTCTCATTTACTCTCCACTTTAATTCGTCCTCTCGACCGCTACTCGAGCAGGTGAACCGAAGCGAGGAGGAGAGATGCAAGGCAGCTTCCCCTCATTCTCAACTGTTCCAGGAGGATCGTGACGTCATAATCCTCGCTTGATCGCGCCCTTCTTTTCCAAAAATACGGCCATCCGTTTGAGATATCAATGTAAGAGTGATGTTTTGGAGTTTGTAGCGTCCCGTTCAACGCTTCTGCGGCCTTATTTTGCGAAATCCAAATCTTAATTCAGCATTCCTTTAAGACCCTAAGGTCCGGTGGCACAGGCAGCCTTTTCCGCAGTTCTTTCGTTACAGTAAAGAATGCTTCATCTTGAAGTGTTCTGTGCAGCGTTACAAGAGGAATAGGCTCTAGCGCGTGGCTTCACCAGAGGGGGCTTTCCTTCCGCGAGTGCCCGCGCGAAACAAAGTACCGCACAGAGCTATAGAACGCTCTTGCTCTTTTGCCTTCAACAGCATTGCCCCCAAATTATGAGACGGAATGTGCCGATTTCGTTGTTATATTTATAACTCTTTTGAAATCGCACGATCTACACACTACAAGCAGTTACCACGAAAGCAAAGGGAGGTGCCTCAAAAATGAGTTTTGGGATAGGCTCAATGCAAATGCTCAAATATGTAGTACCTCTGCGATAGCTTACTTTTGCCCAATCTGCTAGCGATGAAGGAGACGTTTTCAGAAATACAACTTACCCTTCTAAGTCCGTTAGCCTGGAAGAATCTCTGAAGCCCTTGGCGAAAGGATTGCTGTCTATTTTCAGTTTTGTTATCTGTCAACAAAAGGGGAAACACGCATAAACGGTCTAAATATATAAAAAAAAGACACTTATACAGGTATGTAAAAATGCCTGTTGCCTGGTAAACACACCATACTGTTTTCATCTGAAAACTTGTTAAAAAGGCGCAATCGTATGCTTCTCACATGTATTGTGTATAGCCTGCATCTTACAAAAGAAAGGTAAAATATAAGTGGAGGCTCAACTCACTAGTTGATTTTGGTACGCTGTGACGGCGGTGAAGACTGTCTCCGGGAAGATGTACGTTCGAAATTGCTCCGCTTCGAGATCAGTTATGACCGGCGGGTTTGAGCAGCAGTCGGGGCGAAGCTTGACCAGATGGATCCGGGGCTGGTACTTGTGCATCGAATTCAGCACGATCTGAAAGCCAACGGTTCAGTAAAATACCACGTGGTGTGAGACTTCGTGTGTTGGTGTGGTGTAACGCAACGATCAAAGACGCTGGGGTACAACCATGGGATAGATCTAGCGTGAATTTCAGTCCTGATCACTCGAGCACGATTGTTGATAATGACAAAACAGTGAAGAGCAGAAATTGGGCTTTATTGACAGTAGACCGAAGGCTATGGCCATGGCGCAATGCGTGTAGGAAAGGGAGCGTGTATCTTAAGATGTACATACGCCATAAAACATCGTTTGATTAATGTCGCTTTTAATCTCAGTCTTAATTTGAGAATGTGTAGCTCTCAAAGAGTTGAAGTATAAATCTAAAAAAAAAGAATAATAACACAAAAACTGGCAAGTTTTTTTTTTGTTTTTTTTTTACCGTCTTTGCGTACGCGAGAAGGAAAAAAAAAAGCTACACTTATAAGTTCCAATGTGATAGACAAGAGGAGAAGCACCGAACTGCACGCGAGGACAGTTTTAAAGCGTACAGTATAACGCCTTCATAATCTAACTACGATCATAATAGTCCGTCGTTGAGTGTACTCCAATATAGAAAGCTGAAATTTATGGTGGATAATTGCTTCCTTTTTCTTCCCCGTATAACGAAAGACAAACTAGTGCAAACGAGCCGTCCTTTTAAGCGGGCCGCCGCGGGAGGGCAGTTCGTCCCATCGTGCAAGCGCGTGCGCAGGCTATGTACTCACATGTCCCTGTTTGTCCATCTCGTTGTTGGTGAGCTTGACCTTCTCGAAGGAGACGACCTGCTTGCGCAGCTGATCCCCCGTGAAGGGACAGTCCGGGTGGGCGTAGAAGCGACCCGGAGACGGCGGGTCGGCTTTTCCCGCCACGAGCCAGGAGGACCGGTGGTACGCGTACCGGTACCTCTTGTTGTCCACGGGCACGATGTCCAGGAGTACCACGTACCGGCCCTCGGGCTGCAGGCCGTTGAAGGAAACTCGCAATGTGGGGAACATCCGTCTGCGTGGGCGGAGAGAAACGGGAAAGTGGCGTCCACCACGTCAGACTCGGGCATTCATAACCGCAAGGGACGCCTGGTTTCGAAAGGGTTTCAAGTGACATTGACACAAACATCAAACGTCCCGGTCGTACCAAATTATTTTTACTGTTAGAAAAGAATTGTCAAATCTTGAGGAAATGTAATGAAGTTCGGGTGGGGTCGCGGTCTGGGGGTGCAGTAAATTGTGCACAGGAGACGAAGGCGGGAAATACTGTAACGACAAAGTGAAATGTACTAAAAGTCAAACTAACACTTCATCCCTTCCCCCTTTTTTTCTTTTTCTTTTTTGTTTTCTTCCAGAAAAAAAAAAAAGGGGGGGGGGGGGGGGGGAGATGCTCTCTGAAGGCGATGTCCTTTTCGGTGCAGTGCTCGCCTGTCAGTATGTGAAGCCCACCTCGCGTGAATGTAGGACACTTCTAGATCGTGATGTCAAGCAGTGCTGTGCCCGCTACCGAAAATAAGTAACGAAATAACGTTACTCGTTAACTTGGAAAAAAGCTAACGCGTTACAGGGCTCCGTTACCATTTTGCAAATGTAACGAAATACCGGTGTCGTTCCTTGCCATGACTAACGGACGTTACTTTTACGTTAGTTTGTCGTTACTTTGTGTTTCTTTGCTAGTATATGACAGCTGTTTATAATAAACCGCCTCTATAAACTTCGCCAACAATACACTTGTTCAGAGGGATAATTTATTTATTTATTTATTTGTACTCTGCAGTGCCGGAGCATTACAGCAGAGGAGTGGAGTACAGATCACATTTATGCGTTGGAAACTCACAAAGCAGCGTGGGGCGAAGGGGGGGGGGGGGGGGGGGGGGGGGCGTTAACACGCGTCGGCAAAGACTGCACCAAAGACGCTTAGGGGTTCCTCGCAGCGATAATCTTGCGTATTTTGGGCCCGGCCCTGAGAACGTTAAAGTGTCACTTCCGAAGGAGTTTGAAATGACACCGCTTAAACGCTTATACGTAGCTTTGTTGGAGTTTCTTTGCCACTCTTACGTAGTGCACAGAATAAAAATTATTTTGTTTCAAATAATTATGCGGCCATTTTTAATAAAAAGTAACGGGTAACGTAATTTTATAGGAGATACCGTAAAATAATAACGACATTACTCGTTAGCCATATGGGATTTTAACAATTACGTTAGTACGTTAGTCAAACAACTAACGCGTTAGTTCAAACACTGCATGCTTTCAAGACCTTCGATCATTCTTTCGCAAAGTCACTTGTGTTAGAAAAAAAAAAAAAAGACGAAAGGTATCGTGCGAGACTGTTTTTAGCGGACCTTACCACAAGGAAAGATGTCACTCAGCGGAACCACTTTCTTTTTTCGTGAACATTTTTTTTTCACTAACCCTTTCACGAATTTGTTTTGTGCTTATACGATGCGTATTGCCCACGGGTGCACGCATCCGTGATCGCGCGCGATACCCACGTGCGCCCTGTGAATGAAGTGACGTGTACGCAAGGCGTTTTCTGACTCGATCGTCGGGGTTCCATCGATCAGCGCGAACGTACCAGGCATTACGAAATTGTTCTCTTTTCCTTGGCACCGCTTGGTTCGCCCGCGAACAAGGAGATAGGCTGTCGTTACAAACGAACTCTGACACTTTTTTTTTTACTCCCGGCGTAAAGACAAGGCCTTTCGACAGCGCACCTCGCGCTATCATCATGAAGAAGAGGTGGCGAACGTAATGCGAGCGTGGCTCTATAAAAACAATACCATAAAACCAGATAATAAAGTAAAAACAAAAGCGCGGGACGAGAGCACAAGCAGACTGGAAGCCAGGCACGCGAGGAGAGCACGTCACCCACGATCTCCTCACGTCGTCCATCAGCACCAAGTTTTCCCTTAACTGTCTTCTTTTGTTATTTCTCGGTTTTTAGCCGGTCCCTGTTGTACCGTTTTCGCTTGCGCCTTTTCTGGTTTGTGCACGAGCCACCGCCGCCGCCGCCGCCAGCGCAGTTGCCGACTCCATCTGCATATCCGTCACATCGCGTTTGCAAAAAGAGGGCCCCCTCTGTATAGTGCGCGCAGCACGTCGTTGCGCGCCGCTTTGCTGCAAAGAAAAAGCCGGCTTTTGACGCCGAGGGTTCGCCAGAGACCCCGAGTTGAACGCACACGTGTTGCGGCTGAACAACTTGGGCGCAGCGAGATAGTACCCGCCGCCAGCATGCCAGTCAGGGCTCGCGGTCCTCCTCCCTCGCTCCCGGACCTCCTGGCTTTTATTTCTTTGCCTGGCGAGTTTCGCGGTTCGTGTTCTTTCAGACCGCGGCAGCGGCGTCGACTCGGTGGGAGTGCGGCTGAATTATTTAAGTCGACTGGCTTTCATTGTGGCTGCTGTGCTCGTTTCGCACCGCTGGTGCGCGTGCCAACATTGTCTCAAGCGTTATAATTGTTTTTTTTTTCTCGCTCGACAGAAACAATTTGAGCTGGGCCCGTGACTCGTGTTTTTTTTTTTTTCTTAATATTTTGCCCCTTGTCGTTAAACGTTTTAAAACTAGTGGGGAGAAAAAGAGAGAAGGAGGACGGTTGATTAGAAATTTTGACGCTTTGAATCGTGTCAGCATTGAAAAAGGGCTTATCGATATCATATATTTCGCTTTGTTTTGTAAACCTCGATAGGATGTCCACGTGGGAGTGAAATAACGAATGATAGACATAACTGGCGGGTTTTTATACATTTCCAACGCGGAGAGTGGCTTCGAAATTTTATTAGAAAAATAGTGCTAAAAAAAATAAAGAGAAACAAAATTACGAGAAGCGTTGAAGATCAGAACGGAAAACCTCTGATGTGAAATCGCTCTTACCGCTCATTCACACTGGAAGCGGATCCGCGTTCGCAAACCGGCTGTGAAGGCGGTTGTATAAAGATCCAGTACATTTGCACGCGCACTTGATGTCATCGAGTGCGCGTGCAATTGTACTGGATCTTTATAAACCTTTCCAATGTTTACAAATCCACAGCTCAGCGTGCGATCTCCACAGCTCAGCACGCGCGTGTGCGTCGCTTCGGAAAGCGAGCAAATCACGCGCGATACGCACGAACACTGAAAATTAAACGGGCCAGCAGCCCTTTTCTGGAAAGGTCTATACAACAGCGAACGCGGATCCGCTTCTAGTGTGAATGAGCGGTTAATGTTCTCACAGTACCGCAGATTTCGTACCTCCTGATGAAGAAGAAAATGGGAGCCTGTGTGTTGTGCCTCGATAGCAGATGATGGAGTTGGCCAAACAGATAAGTTGCGGACCAACGCAACTGACTGGCCGCAAATCATCGCAAAAATAAGCTATTCGCAGTCAATTTTGATTACTCGGGAGCACACATACATTACCTACACACATTTAGTTTTTACTGTCAGCTTTGCTAAGTTTATAGAGTCTGTAATACATGAAGACTCCATGAAGACGTCTCTAATGGGCTGTCGAAGCACACATGGCTTGCATTGACGTCACATCAGCCTCCATTGCTCCGGACCTTGCTCCTGCCTCCGTATACCTTCTGCAGCATACATTTGGCACCATCGAATTTCTTCTTCTCGGCAAGCCTTGCTGAGACTAAAAAATTCGATGGTGCGAAATGTATGCTGCAGAAGGTACGGGCACAGGAATGGTTTGCGGAGCAATGACGGCATGGTACGGTGCCATTGTCCATCAGTCGACTAAAGTCCGGTGACACAATGTCATGGTATATTTATGCCTTGCACGGCGCAAGGGATGTACATATCATGACATTGTGTCACCGGACTTTAGTCGCCTGATAGACACTCAAAGACGTTCGAAAACGACCGGAAGCGGCTGAAACGTCATATCTAGCGGCGAAATCTGGCGTTAAACGTCTATACGGCCTGCAAGTTCATCTGCTCCTTGCACACCTCGTGTTTGTTGACCCCCCCCCCCCCCCCCCCCCCCCCCCCCCGATTTCAAGCAACGGCAGCGCGAGCTTGGCTGCCTCGCCATCGCACGATCTCTCCACGCGTTCCCTGCGTTGCCTTTTGATTGGCGTGCCCCTCTTTCCATTTCGACGCACCAAAGACGCAATTTGGGCACACGTGCTCGCCGTATAGTCGCACACAGCTCACGAAACGCAGGGTGTGGCGAGTTCCGAGCGTCCTCACTCGGCAGCCAATGAAACTGCAATATTAGCCGGTAAGATATCGTCAACGAACCAATCACGAAGTGGGTTCAAATACGAGGTCACGCCCTAGTTCCTCTTATTTTATGGAAACCAGCTCATTTAGTCCACAACTGAGGCCACGCAATGAAGTTTGCTTTAACAAGAAAAGCTCTGTGTAAAAAAAAAAAAAAAAAAAAAATAAGCGCTGAGTTTTTGGCAATGTTGTAGAAATGCATCATCCCATTAGTCGGCTCAGATCTCCTATGCATCTTAAGAGCTCAAGTACTATATAGCACTGCCGAACTGTGCCATAGCTAGATGTCCAATGTTTCGGTGACAAGAACCACAAACTTCCTCAAAGCCGACTTGGCGCCTCTTGATCTCAATGTATAAACCATTCGCCTAAAGTTTTGTGAACCCGCGGATAGGTTCTGATCCACAATAGATATTGTAATGACTCACTTTCCCAAAGTTCGCTAAATAAATATATGTATATATATACCGGGGTGTTCATTTTTAATCCCAACAGATTTATTTTAAAAACAGCCGTGAAAAGTTACACTTATGCTGCTTGTGGAGGTGAGTTATACGGCCAGGGGTACATATTATAGGGGGGCTAATCGTAACGATCAGTTGGCTAATTAACTAAAATTTGATAATTAACTCTTTAATTAATGAAAATAGACATATGTTTCCAATTAGAAACTTGCTCAGCGTCATCGAAAAGCACTAAATCAGTCATTTTCAGAAAGACTTTGAACGCGTGAGAAGCGTAGTAGTGCACTAAAGTTACCACTCGTGGAGCAGGTACAAAGCTAGCGGTTGCGGTAAGGCGCCCGCGCGATTTTTCCGTCTCTTTCTAGCCCCAGCCTTGTGCCTGCTCCACGAGTCGTAACTTTAGTGCACTACTACGCTTCTCACGCGCTCACAGTCTTTCTGAAAATGACTGATTTATATATATATATATATATATATATATATATATATATATATATATATATATAGTAGAAAGAACGAAACAGAAAGACGAGACACAGCCTGCTAGATATATACTTAATTAAATCCTCACGCTCGTTATGAATATGTTTTCATTTTCTCGCGGATTTCACCTTTCTTAAAATAAGCGCCACCTCTATCTGGAACATTTGTCGTGAAAACAACGCGTGAAAAAATCCCCAAGTCACAGCCCACATTTTTACCTCTACCAATTTCGGTACGAAGCGGGGGGCGTTGTATACAGGCGTGCATTAGTTCCTCTAATCACTACCGCGTCGTGCACTTTAAAGGCCCTAAGGCTATGCCCGCCAGTCTGCCCCCTAGCTCGATTTCTGAAACTAGCACTTTCATTACTAATTTATATTGACTTTAATTAACCTTATAATGGACGAATCGTGGCATTAATAGCAGTGACGCCGAATCCAACCTTACCGCCGCCTTCAGGATCTTTTAGCGGCGGCTTTTATAAATATAGCACACATCCCATTACCACCGACAGTGCGGAAAACACGCAGAGAGAAAAATCGCTCCGCGCTAAAATATGCATAATCCGCATCGTCTGGCTCGTTCACACGTCAGCTTCAATCGAGTCTCGGCCTCGGCTTTCGTCGCGAAGACGTGGGGAAAGAACAAGAGCACTTGTTCTGATAAGCACGGCTCCTCGAAAAGTGCACTCGACAAGCTATCTTTTAGCTTTTCTTTCTTCGCAGTTTTCTGCTTGTTTTAGGGGTATATCAATCGCGTGGCAATCACCTGGATCTTGCTACTATGCTGCGGCTTCAATTTCTGCGGCAGGGACGCTGGGTCGATATTTTTCTTCCTCTTTGTGCATAACGGCGTGGATAGGAGCACATTCGCGTGATTAGGAGCCCACAGATGCGTGTCCTGCGAACGCCGATAGAACTTCTTCGCAGCGAGCAGCGCAAACGAGAAACAGGCGGGTTAACGCTCGCGACTTGTTGATGTTCTCTGTTTGCGCGCCGAGGCTGCTATCCATCATGGCCGCCAACTCCTGCCTGCAGGATGCCGTGAATCCGTTCTCGAGCGACGCTCGTGTTGATTGCCTAAAACCATGCGCTCGACTTGTTGAGTTGCGCGGTCGCCATTCGCGTGTGATGCCCGTTCAACTCGGAGATCGTATACCTGCATGTCTTCAATCGTTTCGTATCACGCAGGAGCGTAGAACTATACAACTTCGAACTCTTTTTTTTTTTTCTCTCGTGTATGTAGTAGGTAGTGTTTGAATGTCGTCGAATCTTCGTTTATTATTCTGCATGTCAATATACGGTTACTGTCACGCAACTGGTCCTCTTTGTCGGAGTACAGACTGTCCACTGCGACGAGGGGCACGTTCTAGGTCCACGTGAAAACAGCATGGCGACACAGCGCAAGTATTAGTACAAAATACGGCCACGTAACTTGATTTGATTACGCTTGGATGAGTTCAGCTACAGCGGGCCAGCTTACGGATCGGACAAATGTGCAGCGTCAGTGTTCGCGGCTTTGGTTCACTCAAGCTTACGTTCGGAATGTATTTTTTGAAATCAGGTTCGTTGACACATATTAAGTTATACGCATTAATTCGCTTATTAGGGAGTTTTCGTAGACCGCGCTGCTCCCTCCGCTAAGCGTTCCGCAACGAAGAAGTTGCTACTGCGCCTGCGCTCCGATAGCCTTGACTGTGGAGTTCCCGCTATCGTAGCGGGTTGCGGAGGGCCTTGCGGGACGGCAAAAATGACCCACGAAAACTCCCTATTAAATATACGCATTACGTTATACGCAATGATTCTCTGACCTTCCGGTCTTGGTGATGATCATCTCGGTGCCAAGCTCGTGGAACTTCTCCCAGAGGTCCTTGGTCTCCAGGTGGGCGTCAGCGCTCCTCAGTTCTTCGCTGTTGCACCGTGGCAGTATCTGCGGGTTCTCCAGCCTGCCGGAGGAGCCCTTGTTGGTGCTCGCGCCGCCTTCTCTGTGCTTGCCGGAGCCGGCGGTCCCAGTCGGAGACGCCGCCGCGCTCGAGGCGTCGCTCGAGGCGTCCGCCGCCTGGGAGGCGAGGCGTCCGCCGTCGGCCGACGAGCCACCTTGGCCGGTCGGAAAGGACTCGACGGAGCCGCACGGCGTCTCCGGCCGCTGCAGGTCGTCTTCGCCGAGCGAGGACGCGCTGGAGGGCGGCGAGGACTCGGCCGGCTGCGCGTGTCCGCCGAAGCGCCCCAGGAACTTGAGGCTGGACACGGCCGCGTGGCCCCCCGGGGACGACGCCAGCAACCGCTGCTGGTGCCGCCCGAACCCGGGGCTGCCTCGCTCTCCGACATTTTCTGCGAGGGTAAAGAGCGAATGGTTAGTCATCTTCGCCGACATTCTTATTTATCTCTCCTCCTTTTCTTTTTCTGTTTCGGTTTGAAAACGAAAGTGGGAAGCTAAGAGAGATCTGGACTTCACTGTATCACTACTGTGTGGTGCACGTTCAAGACCTCAGGCTTGCAGTCGTACTGCACTGGCTCATTTGCTCATCTACACTGGGTAACAATGTCGCCATGCTTTGGCAGACTACCGCCGAATTCAAAAAACTCACTCAAACTACACTCATACTGAAGCGCCCCTCCACTTCCTCGAGGAAGGCGCGAGGGCCGGCGCTGGGCAATCGAGAGGACGGATCCGCCGTCGCGATTGGCCAGCGCCGGCCCTCGCGCTTTCCTCGAGGAAGTGAAGAGGCCCTTCAGTTTGAGTGCAGTTTGAGTGAAGTTTCTGAATTCGACGGTAAACTCCTGCTGTTTAAACAACTGACGATTAATTTGTTTTTTGGACTTTACTGACACCTAAAGTGCAGCTTTCCAATACTATTTTGACGGCTGCCTCCAAAGGCGTTTTGTGCAGCCATCGGCTTTTTTACAGCGGAGCTGTTAAGGGCTAGTTTCCCCAGGATCGTGTCCCCCAGTGTTGCCAGATGGAGAAAAAAAGAGTCAGCAGATTGATCCCCAAAAAGTCAGTAGATTTGCACAAAAATCAGCAGATTCCACGAAATATGTGTTTTGCCATGTTTTGCTATCTCCATTAATACACACTTCGAAGAAATACTATAGAGTAACAAATAACATGGTAATAAACACAAATAAAAATGAAAGAAAAAAACAAGACCAGTTCTCGAGTAACTTTATATGAAGGACAAATTAAAATGGCACCATTAACGTTTTTGTTTTAGTCATTATTGACTATTTCGAGGATTATTCTTTGAAATCGAGACTGAGGCATTTTTGGGATTACAGATGAAGGCGACAGTGCGGCGTTCACCTGTCACTATATTATTGAAACGAAACCGAAACAAGACGCTCCGGCAAATGCGCGCGAACATGTCCAATGGAAGTCCTTCGCATGCTGCCATCTTTCCTTAATCGGCCATGGAAGGTTTTTGAAGCAACGCTGTTGGTCCGGAGCACTGTTGAGGCTACGCGTTTTCTGCTACGGGCTTATTTCTTTTTCGCCTGACCCAAAGTTTGCGTTCAAACGTGGAGAAACTTCATTCGTTAGCTTTTTAAGCCACCGAGGAATAGGATTATATCATTTTCTTGCCACAGCCTGCCAAATAAAAGAAAATAACTGAAATTCGGATGTCGATCCCATGCATTCCGCCGAACGAATGAATGAAAATTGCGGCTCTCTCCGGAGCTATTCTAGTAGATTGTGTTGGAGCAGCCGAGAGTTCAGGCGCATGCGCAAACACCTCTCGCTCTGCGCCGCGGCTGATTGGCTCACTCGGGAGAGGGACGTTACGGCGAGATATAGACTAGCCAAACTCTCTCCATATATGGCTCTGATCGGATGTCACCGTCGAACCTGCCGAACCTGCTCTGGGTGAATAGATAGATGAATATACGGCTACGTCACTCGAATAGGACGGGCTTCTGGGCCATCTAGCCAGTGCTTCGTTTTTAATTCTGGGACATTATGAGTTTGCTTTGATGGGCGACACTGGGAACTGAAGGGGCCATATAATAAATTTTTAATATGTTTACTAAAAAAAAGTCAGCAGATTTTCTTGTTTTTCAGTGAATCAGCAGACCCGGAACGAAATCAGTAGATCTACTGATAAATCAGTAGACCTGGCAACACTGGTGTCCCCCACAAAGAAATGAAGACACCGAACTCTGGGCACCTACCGCCATCTATGAGCGACGGCGGCAAGCAACATATCTGTTTGCCGCCGTCGCTCATAGATGGCGGGAGCCTTTCCACTTTGGCTTGCCGACTTGCGGCCGGCCGTTACTTTCCATAGTACAGCTTCGCTGGTCTTCCTTCTTCACCAGAGTGGAAAGGCTGAAAGTTATTATTTATATATATATATATATATATTTTAAGCGCTGCGATCTGTTTCAACGTCACTTGGTAAATATAACTAAAAGCTTCGAAGCGAGGCACTTGACTTCTAAGGACTCCTGTGGAGCGCACCGCATTGCTTCATTCAAGCCGCAGCTTTCGACGTTCGACAAGTTTTGATGGGCAGTTTCAGTATAATGCTCACAAAGCAGTTTTATTCACTACGTTGAGTAGCTTCATGTGTAGAACATATATGGCGACGGTATCCTTAACGTACGCCACTGATTTGCCGACGTTCTATGTCAAATCCTCCCCATTGAAACGAGGCGAGAACGACACACACGCGCACTTTTCTCCATACCTGCGTACATACATTTTGAAGTGGAGCCGTCAGGCTCCGAAGATTCGGAGAATTACCTAAATTAATAGGGATACGCAAATTGATCCGTCGTTAAAATTAATGTACACGGTTTGCGCATGCGCACTCTGAAAGTATCGACCTGGTCTCGTACTGTGCTCATTCGGAGTTGCGCACCGCTCAGTACATGCCTTGCAGAAAGAGAGCAGTGACGTTACAAGCATAGCGCTTTTATTCCACTTCGTTTTCTTTCTGGGCGTACATTTTTTTTTTTATTCACGATATCTATCTATGACATTAAACTTTTCGACGCACTGCGGGGAAAGCTGGCTTTGAAGCAAATAGCGCCGATGGGTTGCGACGCCAAAGCCCATCGTCCTTCGGCGGCTCTGCGGTCGAGCAAAATAGCGAGTATTGATAAGGCGCGCATGTAATGACGTTCACAACTCGCTTAGCCAGAAAGGGAAGGTCGATCGCTACACTCGATCGGCAATTATCATAATATGTGCCGGCGTCCTGGCGGCTCTCATCCGCCATTGGACGGGGGGGGACTCCGTTTTATCGCGGCCGCAATTGTTTCCTCCGTTGTGGCAGCCGGATCGAAGCCTCCGCGCGGTGGCATCATACTGCCTGAATATATCATTCGCGGTTTTATACCGAGTAGCTTTGCGCAGGCGAGTATGCTAATGCCGTCGCTTCGGTTGCGCGGTTACAATAGCAGCTCTTATCTGACTTCGCAACGATCGGTCTACTGTGTCGAATGGTTGTGTTCGAGTTGGAGCGTGGCGGTCGGCATGACAGGCTCGAAGACATTCGCGTCGTCCCCTTCCAGCCATATATATATAGCGTGCGCTGAGAGCGGCCCTTTCCTTATATATATATATATATATATATATATATATATATATATATATATTCCTCAACTATTCGCAGTGCCCTAATTGTGACCTTATTCAGTGGATGAGGGAAAGCTAAGTCAACTAGAGCTGGACACTGACTATAAGATAGTTTCACACCAAGTCCGAGCGCAGCTAACGCCACCATCCGCCGGAGGCAATCAGGCAGCGTCAAAAGTGGATTGTCTCCGACACCACATGGTAGAAAAACGTGGAGCTTCTCAGAGATTATCATACTAAAAGCAGATCCAGAAGATCCGACCGTGTGTGGTACGATAAGTGAGTGAGTTTTCCATGGGAGAGAGAGAGAGAGAAGAATAAACTTTATTAAGGAATCCAGCGGCTACGGGGGTGTCCCCGCCTAGGCGGCGGCCGGGATTCCTTTGGGCCCTGGCGGCGTCTTCCGCACGCTGGACGACCCAGGGTTGGTCATCTGCGTCTTAGCTGAGCAGCACGGTCTCCCACTGCTCCGAGGTAGTTCTTGTGCGACCTTTAAGGTTCGCCTGTGGGCAAGCCCGTAAAATGTGCGGTAGGTCCACCCGTTGATTACATTGCTTACACTTGTTTGAATACTGACCCGGGTTTGGGTAGGTGTTCGTTTGTAGGAGGCGCCAGGCGACCGCTTTCTTTTTATTGAGTACGGTGTGTGTGTGTGGGGGGGGGGGGGGTACCGGATTCTACCCAATCTGTAATGGCCAGTAATTTCCTGATAGGTAACCATGCGGTCCCCTCTCGACCCTATAGCGGAGGCGGCTCGATAGCCCGGCGTATAAGCCCTGGAGCTGTAGTGTGAGCCGCCTCTTTTCCGGGGAGAGAGGCGTGTGTGTGTGTGGGTGCCCAGATGAGTTGGACTGCCCGCTGATCGCGATGGTTAGCCAGTATCCTTTCTGCCTCCAACGATATGCGCACCCTCGCAAAAATTTCGAACTGCGGCTTTCGAGTCGCTAACTATACGTATTCGCAATTTGTAGACGCTAAAGCTAGTGCAATAGGGCATCACTGCCAGACCGTACCGCATGTTCGGGTGTGACCGTCCGCGTCTATACCGCTACGATAGACACCGCGGTGAGCTGCATATTCTGCTGCGTCGACGTAGCCACTTCCAGGGAGTCGTTCTTTGTGATAATCGGGTGCATGTTTCTCGGCACTGGATTTACTTTCAGGTGTTTTTGGATGTCGGGCGGGATGTTCCACTTTGTGCCGTATTGGGATTCGTATTTAACATTTAGCTTTCTGCGTATGTGTCTGCCCGTGGGGCTTTGTGTTAGTCGTTCGTATTGTGCTATCGTGTGGGCCGCTTTGAGTTTGCCTATAGTGTATTATGTATACCGAGGGCTAATAACTTGTCAGTAGCCGTCCTGATGTGGAGACCGAGTTCCTGTTTATATACACTCTCATGATAATTCCGTCTATTTTCTCTCGCTCGGACACCTGGGTGCAGAGATACGGGGCCACTACACCATGCGACTAATTACAAAAACTTGCAACAGGCGGAATTTTTTTTTGCTTTTTTTTTAATTTAAATTTTCTAAATATGAGTATGATCAATACATCACCTCAAAACACATTTGTGAAAAGTTCCATGGCACTCTGCTCAATGGCTAATTTATACGAATTTATTGTACGCCCGAATATCGCTCGAGAACACCCTGTATATAGTGGACGACCAGCTTAAGCAAGGACTTCGTGGCAGTCGCATTAACTCACACCGTTGGAGAGGGGATGGGATGGTTGCCCGTCTAGCGGAAGA